ATATACAGAGTGTTTTCGAAAATAATTAAATGGAGGCGTTTATTATTAAACCATAAAATATGTAATCTTCCGCACATGATATCTATATGATATGTTTGTATATGATAGTAGGGGACTCACCAATCTGAGTACATAACATTTCTGTCCCGTTTTACCATGGAGCTCGTAATAGAGCCCTCGCAGGCGTTTGCACAGCAACTTGTAGAATATGCGGATATGAAATCGAAAAAGGCGAGGGAGACCAGACTGGTCATTTCTAGCTTCTTAGCTGCCATCAGCCACTCATACTCAATCCCAGATGTGGCGACCCCCGAGATTAGAACCCGCGATCTCTGGTCACTTGCAATCGGGAAGATTATGACAGTAGGGGCTCACCGATTGGAGCTCAATCTACTCTTCACTGAGTATACCTCCGACGTCTACTGTTTCATATTATTGTCTGTGATAAGTCGGTGTACGTCTAAACTATTGTGGCTTGGAGACTAATCACTTGGCAGGTCAAACGTGATAAAAGTAGACGCCGATCCGGCCTCTATAGTCACCGTCTTCTACACCTATCCCCAGTCGTCTTAAATTTGCACTGTAATGGAAGGAAAAGATCAATTAGGCTAGGTTCTTTGAAGGTCTAAGTTATTATCATCCAAGTCACGCAAAATTTGCCTCTGCGTCCTTGGAACGGTGCTGTTTCTCATTGCTGACGGCGAAAATGTATTGGCCATTCATGCAAACTGGACCAAGATCCATATCTTCGGACATTTAATGACCAGAATTTCAGTTAGAAGTCAACCTTGTGCAAAGACATTCGCAAAACTACTTTGTCGTTCAGAAAACCAACATGAGCGCCAGGAAGGAACCCATCACTCCTAAAATGTGGAATAAACAATCCTAGAACGCCATTTCGACAGTCAGAAGAGTTGTAGAGCCACCGCAGTTGATTTAATCGGCGCCCTGGAGGTGGAGATGGACTCGGAACCTACGTTGACACATGCGCCACCTGTTTGATTATGGTCAAACGTGCTATTAGAGGCCCAATGGCACGCGTGAGCCAAAGTAACTTCGAAATAGTGTTTTCATGGGCCGTGCCTTCGCATCCCAGTCCACCGTCCAATTACTCTATCCTACCACGCCTTAGTTGACATCAACGTCCGCACTTGAATCCAGCATTTGTCTAGTGAAGTCAACAAACTCCCCTATTTCATCCGCATGCATTTTCGGACTAAAACCAGACTGCCCTAAAGAAAAGCAGCTTCCTAAACAGTGATTTTCGAGAATAACCGTGGGCGACCACAGACATTCAACCAGCCGATTTTGTTTAGCCACGGATTTCAAACCAGGATGTTCGGGTGCTTCAGTACATGCCATCATAACTTAGCTTTACCTAATACACCTGAGTATTATACTTTAATCGACGTAAACATATGTAGCCCATAAATACAAATATAACTGAACTTCCTCAGACCATATTCTTATTCATGAAGAGATTATATTCTAAAATGAATGCTCCGTTCTCTTTTAGCAACATGCTTGTATATATTACTTTGGAAGGCGATTCTGTCGAACCGTTTTCAGGAATGGCTGCGTCCTCTGGTGAAGCCAGCACGTGAAGGTTCTCCTGGGACTCTTCAGAGTTGTAGCTTCAATGTAAAACCTTGGGCTTCAAAATAGAAGAGAGTCTAGACACCGATCAAAGCACTTACAACACAGGTACCAGCCAATGGTAAAGCGTCAAGCAAGATACCAGCGATCACATCTACGCCCTCTTAATATAAAATTTCGTCGGGCACAACTTCGATCTTAGTTCCTTTTTCTATGCGTTCGTCATTCGGCCATCGACTAAGATGTTGTTGAATAACGGGGCTCGGGGCTTTTGATCTGCAATTCAAAAGACAGACGGTCACCAAGTAAGTCGCGCCACCCCTTTTTATCCGAAATGCCTCGTTTTTGTCCCGGATTTAACCCATATGCACTTACTTATATGGCCATTATATGTTTGTGTAGAAGCTTCAACTGCGTTCTTGTTGGGCCTTGTAGGTGGCGATGAGGCTTCTGCCCTAGCGGAGGCTCGTCACATGCTAGACGAGTGGTCTACTACGGCTTCTGGTAGTGCTATATACCTCTTTCTTGCCGGACGCTTGGAGCTCCTTTGTGCCAATTTTGACCCTGTGAGTTTAATGCTCTTTACATATTCACGCATAATGCTTTCCTTAATAAATTATTTTACGTGTATCGTGTAACGTTAGTGGTCCTTTTGAAAGCATGATTAGAATTAGTTCAGATTTAAACAATGTTTCTACGAAATTGGTCTGGGATTTACGAGGCAAACGAGACTAACTGTCAATTTTCAAAGTTGTAATTTCCTTGTTTTATTCGCTAGCCACTAGATGGGTTTGAATTGGTGGGCTGAAGTGGCGAAGTGCCTAACAGCAGAAGTAACTAAAGTAGCTTTCGTCCTCAGCGGACTTATTCGGCTGCTTACCTTATATAAAAACCAAAATGCCCAGTCTTCGTTACAATATGGATACTAGGTGCTCAAAAATGTCAACTTGACAATGTCAAAACCCCGCTAAATATTGTCCAACAAGAGGATCTATTTTGTTTAATTATTTGTCCACAATAATTTATTATAGTTTAGATGTGGAAGGAGTCCAGTTGAAAGCAATAAAATGGAAAATCCGGAACCTTTATTGATCATAATTCCTCCTTGTCATAGACCTCGCTGCATATACTGATCTTAGGCCTTCTTTGGCACACAGTTTTTTATGGCTTAATATTTTTTATAGCTTGCTGGCAAACACGGCTGCCTATGATTTTGGCTTCACTGATTGGATCAAGTGCACAGTGCTCACCTAACCTGAGAGATATAATACAATCCCCGAGTTCCCAACGAATGCCTGTCATGTTTGTGATTAACGGCCCCCTGCCATAGGAGGGGG